CTAATCCAAAAGACTTTGGACTCGACGTTTGAAGGCAAGACAATTTTCAATGGCATGTCCTTGAGCTCCGGCATGATATTTATAATAAACGTTGATGTTATACCAATTCGGATACGGAGGTTGGAACGATTTTATATAATATGGATCCACTTCTCGTGCTTCAAGTAACTTCTTATACAACTCTTTATATGATATGGGGATAGTATCAAGATGAGAACCACCTTTTGTCTTGGATTGAACCTGAGTTTTAGACGTCGGGAGCAGACCAAACTTTGATGATTTCTTATTATATGATTTCTTCTCATCTCTGGGAACTTTTACAGTGGTCACCATTTCTTTGGTATCTCCAGACGATTTGTGAATACAAATGATGATTGTCTGCAACTTCTCAAATTGGTTAGGATCAGAAGTCCCTTGCATATCTAAAATTGCAGGATTATCTTCATTAAGCTTTCTCTCTTTCTGTGCAGGAATCTCTTCTCTTTTGGCCAAAACAGATATTCTATCCATCATCTTGGACATCTGCTCTCTTATTTCTCGTATCTCCTTTTGCTCTTCAATGGGCATACGATCTTTGGGTGCATAGTTCTTATCTATCTTCAGAGTTCCCTCAGGATGTCTTTTCTTGGCCGCATCATATTTTGTTTGATCATAGAACTTTTTGTCCATTTACGATTTCTTTCCAATATAATGAACAGTCTTTCAAGTAAACACCTTTTGGTTATGCCATGATCATGCAATGTAAACAAAAGAAATCAATATGAACATATTAGAGCAATGTAACATGCATGAAAAAAAATAAGAAAGAAAAAAAAATAGAATAGTTAGTACCAACTAATGGAAAAAAATCTATCTATCAAGGTATAAATCTTAACCTCATGTTTTCTAGTTCCATGCTTTGTTTGGAAAAAATTAACCTAACCGCATGATTTCTAGTTCGCATACATTTATTCAGGAAAAATAAAATGAAATAAAATAAATTAAAAGCTAGAGCTTATTTCTCCTTTGTGTATACCTATTGACAAAATTTCGGCATGGTTTCAGATCGGGAGAGTTTCTAGGGTTTATTATATGCAGGTTTTCAGTTCTAGGAGTAAAGGTACTCGAACTGTCCTTGTTGATGCCCTCTTGGGCTGTCAACCCTCAATCCTAGTCCATTACAGACTTAAGCAGATCGAGTTTAATTCGAGGGGACACATTTCTCTATGCCTGACACGGAGAATAAATTCTCACGAAGACATAGAGCATATGAACCCCGAAAGTTACTTGCTAGGTCTGACACGGAGAATAAATTCTCACGAAGACGTCGCTTTCACTCCCACTTAAAAGGGACAAGCTTGATTAGAAAGCTTATGTTATGCAATGCAAGTGTTGTGTGTGAGGAGAAATATTCAAACCTTTGACAGACAAATAAAATAATTAATACTTGAAAAATAAAATGAAACATTAATAAAATAATATACATATAAATATTATAAAAATAATAAGTATATATAAAAATTTTGAAAAGAAAGAATTATAAATTAAATATATGATTTTTTAATTTATAATTAATAGAGACAATTTATAATTAATTTTAAAGTTTGATTAGTCCCCAGCGGAGTCGCCAAACTGTCGTAATCGGTTTTCGTCCGGGCACGAATTTTTTACACGGCGGGAAAAGTGATGTGAATAAATATTTTTTTAAAATGATTTGGGAGTCGCCATCGACCTTTTGGGCCAGGTAGGTAGAATACCTAAAAATTATCTTTTAAAAGAGCTTTTAAGAAAACATCGATTAAAAGATAAACTGATCTGCGTTTTAACAAAAAATTTGTTCTTTTTAATAATAAAAAGGGATTCGTGGTCGGTTACATTTAGGGAAAGATTAACACCCCTACAACGCCCAAAATTGGTACTTTTTAATTATAAATTGTCTCTATTATTAGAAATTTAAAAATTTTAAATATATTTAATTTATAATCCTATTATTTCAAAATTATAATTATGAAAAAATCTTAATTTATATATTTATAAATAAAATATTTATTTATTTAGAAATATCAGAAAAGGACTTCTAGGTGCCTTAAGACAGCTCTTTTCTTTGATATTAAAAAATAAATAAATAATTAAAACAATTAATATATAATTTAAAAAATAGGATATTTATTTATTTAAAAATATCAGAAAATGGACATCCAGTTATTTTAAGACTGCCCTTTCTTAATATTGAAAAATAAATAAATATATATTAAAATATGATTATTAAAAGTAATTTATGAAATATAGGATTTTAACAAATAAACAAATATTATTTATTATATATATATATTTATTTATATAAATAATAAAAATAATAATAAAAAATAATAATGATAAAATAATATTGTAAATAATGATTAAAATAAAAGGAATTAAAAATATAGTATTAAAATATAAAATATTAAAAAAAATAAAAAAATGAAATTTTAATGATTAAAATGTAAAATTATAAAACTAGAGTACTAATTCGAAATATATAAAAGATGGGCATTAAAAGTGTAATTTAACCATAATTCATAATACGGGATTAAAATAATAATTACTAAACTATGAGGGACTAAATTTGATATTTACCCTAAATATATATATATGTTGATAAGGATTAAATTAAAATAAAATAAAATTAGAAGACTAAACTAAAATAATCAGAAATCAATTTCAGTGACTAAATTGTAATGATTACAAACTAGGATGGATGCGGAAAGGATTTTTCACGCGCGAAATTACAGATATACCCCTCCCAAAACGGCGTCGTTTGGGAAGGGGTATAAATACCCGAAACCGGCTGGCCCTACGGGCCATTCTCTCATTTCTTCCTTTCTCTTCTCTCTCAAAACTGAGAGAGCCAGAATTCTCTCTGGATTCTCTCTAAAACGAGAGAAGCGGCACCGGCCGGCAGCCGTTCGCCTCCGCCGTCCTCACCGCCGGCCACCGCATCCGGTGGCTGGGAAATTTTATTTTTTTTACCAAAACGTAGATCGGACCGTCCTAACGACGGTTTCGGTGACCATTTTTCTTAAAAAGCTCATGATCGGAGCAAATCTATGAAAATACCTTCGGGTCTTGGTTGTTTCCGGCGACGGTTGGGGTTCTCCGATGACAGAGTAAGTTTTTTTCCTCTCTTCTCTTTTTTTTTGTTGTTGTGTTGTTGTTGACTAGGATCGTTGGTAGTTTTTTTTTTATTTTGTTTCTGTTTTTTTTTTGTTGCTCTCCGTCCTCTTCTCTGTTTTGCAGGATCCGGTGGCTTTTATAGCGCCACAGAGCCATCCTCGGACCGGTCCAGAGGGGGAAGTTCGGTGAGTCATCGAGCTATGTGGTGACTCACCTCATAGTCGCGACATGTGGGGGGGCAGCTGGCCTTCTGGAATCCTCTGTTGGCGTCGTGGCAGTACTGAAACGTCGGCAACGGCTGGACGAGACATCTGGCTTGGGCTTCTGGAAGCAACTGGAAGCGTGGGGCGGCTGAAACTTGGAGCGGCATCGTGGATGTTCTGGAAGTAGCGGTGGCTGGGATAGGGTTGAGAAACCCTAGCTAAAACCCCAAATCAATTTAGGGTTTCCATTTAGGTCTGGGCCGGTTCTGGTTGGGCTTGGGATTTGTATTTGGGCTGCCGCTTTGGGCTTTGTAATAATTATATAATAATAATATAATATATATAATAATAATAATAATAATTTTAATAATAATAATAAAAACAAAAATGAAAAAAAAATTAGTGTTTACACCACCAAGAAAACAGTGTATAGGTGGTAAAGAAATCTGAATTTTTATGTTATTTATTTATTTTATTAAGGTTGTTTACTTTAAAATATTATTTGTATTTATTTTATTTAAAAATTTATATTGTTAATATATGTTTGTTCACCTTAAAAAATACTTTTAGACCTGTATAATCTTCTTTATTATTTGACCAACCTTTATAGTGTCTTATTTACCCTTCATAAAAACTAATTGATTCAATTTTTATTTGATGGAGCTTCGATTCTTTAATTATTATTTTATTTAATTATTAATATTTATTTTATTGATTGATTAATCTGAATCAAAAATTAAAAAATTATATTATGAGACTATTTTCAATCTAGTTTGCTTATTCTATAATGTTATAATTCAAACTTGACTTGGAATTTAATAAATTAATTTGTAGTTAGTATATCTTATTTCATATTTAAGGGATGATTTATTAAATGATTGAAAAAATCTTTAGAACATATACGATATTATAATCATTCATATTGATTAAAAAAAACCTTTATAATACATCACCGCGATATCCAGAAGCTAATGACAACAAGAATCGTGTTCTTATCAATAATCACTCCAAATACAATGTCACTATCATGAAGAAAAAAACATAGTATTCCCTCCATCCCAATTTTTATGTTCATTGTTGATTTTTCATGTAGGTTTAGAAAGAAAAAGTTTGTGTAAGAGATGTGTTTTAAAAAAATTAAAAAGATAATTTTATTTCAGAAAAATTAAATTTTACTTTATTAAGAAACTAAAAAAAAAGTGATAGAAAATAAAATATGACTAGTAAAAGAACAATTTTAATGGAGTAGTATACTTCACTCTAGGCAAATGGGAGACTGAACAAGAAAGAACGAACGCCAAAAGCACTATCTCTACCACCAAAAGGATAAATGAACATTTTGAATGAACTTTGAGAAAATATTGTCTTCGGTGGGAAGTCGCAAAAAAGACCAACCCTGCCGATTAAACAGCACAATACATTTGAAGAATAGACAAAGCCCTCGCTTTGTCATTCTCCCTGATGCGGAACAACCCAAGAAATGATGCTCTTTTGCCTTCTCAATTTTCAAACTCCTCAATAGTATAGACAAATCATGCGTTGAATCTGTTCAATATATACTAAGAAAGATGGTCGTCTCTGAAAATCCAAAGATACCATTACGGCATTACCAAGCTCTATATATATATATATATATATATATGTAGTTTCATGCTTGATGGATTATGTAGTGAGGATACTCACCGAACTGAAAAAATGCATAAACACTTGTATTTGTTACCAATTGTTGTTACTATATGTGCAGCTTTTGCCTTGGTAGATGAAGTAGATGGCGAGTACTTGATCGGAGTCGGTAGCTATGATATGACGGGTCCTTCAGCCGGGGTTAACATGATGGGCTATGCTAACATAGAGCAGAGCACCGCCGGAATCCATTTCCGACTGAGAACAAGAACTTTCATAGTTGCTGAAAGTTCCCAAGGTGCGAGGTTTGCTTTTGTTAACCTTGATGCAGGCATGGCATCGCAGCTTGTTACTATCAAAGTGCTGGAAAGGCTCAAAACAAGGTAAACCAAAGCCATGCGAGCTAAAATTAACATATAGAATTCACAACGTCTTAAACATCAAGTGCTTCCCTTTGAAGGTTCGGAGATTTGTATACACAAGAAAATTTGGCAATCAGTGGCACCCATACTCATGCAGGGCCTGCTGGTTACTTGCAGTACGTGGTTTACTCTGTTACTTCATTAGGGTTTATCAACCAAACATTTGGTGCAATTGTCACGGCCATCGAACAAAGCATTGTTCAGGCTCACAACAACCTCAAACCTGGATCGATCTTCTTGAACACAGGTAAGCATTCTCGAGTTCAAATACTTAAATTTTTCTTCCATGAAGGTATGAGAATCATAACTAGCCATTGTCATGACATGTTTCTTCTATAGGGGACGTGGTAAATGCAGGGATAAATAGGAGCCCGAGTGCATACCTGTTCAACACACCAGAAGAAAGGGCTAGATACACCAGCAACGTAGATACGACGATGACCCTGTTGAAGTTTCTTGATAGTGCCAGCAATAGAAGCATAGGTGCGTTCTCCTGGTTTGCCACGCATGGAACCTCCATGAGCCGAGACAACAAGCTCATAAGTGGAGACAACAAGGGCGCCGCTGCCAGGTTCTTTGAAGACTGGTTCAGTTTTAGCAACAATTCCCTCTCTACTCGAATTACCAAATTTTCTACTACCCACGGTAGCCTTATCTCTGATTGATTTCCCTCATTATTGTTGTATAAATTCAGATAATGAACAACCGAAATTTCACGCACTTATTATACCTGCTTTTGACATTGTTTTCGTGTGAGATAGACATCAGCAGACTAACAAAGAAAGCTAAAAAAATCAAGGCTACGGGAGGAAAACCCTGTGGGAAAACAACCAGCCAAGGCTTTAAAGTGAGGAAGAACGATGGGACCGGATTTGTGGGGGCTTTCTGCCAATCAAATGTTGGAGATGTGTCCCCAAATGTGCTAGGAGCATTTTGCACGGACAGCGGGAAGCCTTGTGATTTTAATCACTCGTCTTGTAATGGCAATGACCAGCTCTGCGTGGGCCGTGGCCCTGGGTATACCTTTAGCACATGCTTTTAACTCATTAGACGGCTTCACCCTGTTTAAGCTTAAATTTGTGTAACAGATACCCAGATGAAATATTGAGCACAAAGATCATAGGAGAGAGGCAATTCGAAAAGGCAATGGAGCTATTCAGTTCTGCTACTAATCTGTTGAGTGGAAAAATTGATTATCGCCATACGTATATAAATTTCACCAACATCGAAGTGCATCTGAATGAAAGCACCGTAGTAAAGACTTGTCCCGCGGCTCTTGGTTCGGGTTTTGCTGCTGGAACTACAGATGGGCCTGGAATGTTCGGTTTTCAACAAGGCGACACAGAGGTTCGCACTTGGCGATTGCCGATTGTTATCCATCATATCGAGTCGAGCCATGACTTGCTTTCCTCGGTCTCTCGTCTTTGAACCTAATATTCTGATACGCCGTACCTCTCTTTTTGCAGATCAATGAGTTTTGGAAACAATTACGGGACTTGCTAAAAGAGCCTAGCAAATACCAGGTGGATTGCCAACAACCTAAGCCAGTTTTGCTCAGCACTGGCGAAATGTTTGAACCCTATGCATGGGCGGTAAGACCATCATTTTTAACTCTGTCGGTGTGTGGTTAACAATATATAATGCATTGAATATAGAACATTTCTTAACTTTGTCTCACACCACTCCACATTTGTGCAGCCCGCTATACTTCCCATTCAAATGCTGAGGTTGGGGAATTTTGTTATCCTATCTGTACCTGGAGGTTTTCTTTTTCTTAACTGATGAGTTAAATTCTTCTCTTCATGGGGGAAGTTTTACAGTATTCTGCAGGGTTAAGTTTTCTTCACTAATCACATTGCAGAGTTCACCACGATGGCCGGTCGACGGCTAAGGGAAGCAGTTAAAGAGACATTGATAAGTAATGGAAATGGAGAGTTCGACGATGAGACGCATGTGGTAATAGCAGGACTTACAAACACGTATTCTCAGTATGTAGCAACTTTTGAGGAGTACAAGCAGCAGCGATATGAGGTATATTGGAAAACCATAACAACTCGGATCAAACAACAATATTGTACTTACGCGCCTGCTTTTTTATTTATAGTCATATATGCAATGATATATGCAGGCTGCTTCGACACTATATGGTCCTCATACGTTATCAGCTTACATCCAAGAGTTCACAAAACTCGCAAAAGCAATGGCTACGGGTAAAAAGCCCGCTGATATCGGTTTGTTACCACCGGATCTCTCCTCTGTTCAAATCAGCCTCTTACAAGACCCTCTAGGAGACTCCCTGCCACCAGGAAAAAGATTTGGAGACATGGAGCAAGATGTTGCTCAACCAAATGGAGGCTCATTCAAGAACGGGGATAAACCGAGGGCTACGTTTTGGAGCGCTAATCCAAGAAATGATCTGCTGATAGAAGGCACATTTGCAGTAGTGGAGATGCTTCAAGGGGGGAGGTGGATTCCCGTCTACGATGATGACGATTTTAGCTTGGTTTTCAAGTGGAATGCTGATAACAGCGGCATGTACGGCTTAGCGAACATTGAATGGGAAGTACCGGAGGTTGCTGCTGCCGGGGTTTATCGGCTCAGGCACTTTGGGTCGTCTAAGAAAACTAAGGACTCTCCTAATGAATACTACACAGGCGCATCCAGTGCATTCACGGTGGCATGAATAACCTCAGTGTAATCTGCATCTTGTTTAGCAGAAAATAAGGCACAGTTGTCCATCTAAATTTTTTTTTCTGAGATTTCAAATCCAGACAACTCTAATGTGTTGAAATTGAACATTAAAAATAGCACATATATAGCCCTTAATCGTACAAAATCAGAAAATTGACGACAGTAACCATTTCGGGTTTTTTTAGACCCGTTACAAAAACGAAGACGTACCGTAACCAAAACGGCACAGTACAAAACGAAGGCGTTAATCCTAAACACCTGCATAAAAGACACCGTTTAAATTAGCATCAACTCTAACAACTACACTGTTTTATTGACTTAAAAACGGCGCGTAACGCAACATAATTGTTCATTGTTGATATAATCATCCATTCTCATTTGTTGCATTTGGCATATGCATTTCCTTTTTCTCCTTTCTAATGGAAAACAATTGAATCAATGTCGGTTATTGTATAGATTGTAAAAACATATCCCTGAAAACCATAGGAAACATGAGTTTTTGTTGACCATTGCAAAAACAAATGCTTGCCAGTGGTAATGCATTTGCTTGAGGTGAAGTATGTTTAAATCCTGAAATGGATGTTTGACAGGTGTTCCAAAGTTGACAAAAAGCTGTTAGTGTAATGCTGATGCAGTTACAGTTTTTGCTTACGAGTTATCAGAACTGAATCGACGACTTAACTATGGCCTTGATCTTTCTCTTTTATCTGTTGATGAGGGCATAACAGGGTATAGAGATGACTTACTGAAACCGTCGAAAGAAATGAACTTCAGGTTCAAGCTGTTTGCTTTGATTGTTTAGAAACTCTTTTATTCATTTCTTGTAATGTATGATTCTTTGTTTTGTACAAGGATTTGGATGGATGAAACACTAAAGATGACTGGCTTGAAAAATAACTGCACTTTTTGTGGTGTTCTCCGCCGTCAGGAATTTGTACGAGTTGCCTGTTTCATTATTTCGGCTATTTCATTTAGGCTGTACATGTGTACTCTGAGGCTACCTAATCAGACCTTCATGTCTGAATTTTAAGATCATGGTTCTTCTTCCCCGGGCATGGTTCTTGAACTTTGCCCTTTTAATAAAGGCTTAAGGGTCACAGATGCCCGTACCAAATTAATCAATTTCATTCTTATTGTATTTTCATAATAATTTTATCTTCGAAATTATTTAATTTCATCAATGTCTACCTTTGAATTTCTTGACAAATAAAACCGTTAATTTCTTCTAATGTGAACGCCAACTATTTCCACCTAAAATATCTTTGTTGACGTGTCAATCGGATAACATGGTAATAATAATAAAATTTATTACTTTTTAAATAAACCATAAAAAATCCAATTTCCCTCCAATCCCTAATCAAACACAATCAAATTTTTTTTCATTAGATTGAAAACCCACCTCCGACCATGCCACTATCATTCACCCCCGCTCCGACCAGACGCGGCATTCACCGTCATCACCGCTAGCTTCAGCTTCATCCCCTGACCAAACCTTGATCATTAGATCATCGTCGTCTTCCACCGTTCATCGTGAAAATATGAAAGAACTTTCCAAAAGGTTGTTCGAACTTATTAACTCTGATTTTAGTCACCGCTCGATGGTGAGCATCACCGCCCTCTCCATCGGAATCTTTACCTCGTCCCGACCATAACTTCGGTGGTCATTTGTAGAAACTCGTCGCCGTTCGTCGTGCATCGTCAATCGAATGTTCGTCGGAAATCCTTATCACCGAAACAGATTTTTGCGATTTTCAGCCACCACGACTGTCCATTTGCCTCACCGCATGCTCAACCGAGATCCTCGTGAAATTTTGAGCAAAACCCGACCGACGATGTTTCCTCATCGTTGCTCGTTCTCCGATCGTCGAAGGTTTAAAGGAAAAAGAGGGGGCTTCAGGTTTAGTTTAGGGTCTCGGTTCATTCGGCCACCGCTGGGCTGTTTAGAGAGTTTTAGGTCGATGTTTGGGCTTCTTCGAAGTTCCTAGCGACAGTCGGAGGGAGTAATGGCCACCGTCATGTGGTGGTCGTGACCTTTGGTTTGCTTTGGCCGAGGGGAGCATGAAAGAGTTGAAGAACAATTGATTGAGTTTGACTAGGGATTAGAAAAAAAATATTTTTTTTTTGTTATTCTCATGTCACCCAATTGACACGTCAGCAAAGATATCTTAGTTGGAAACAATTAGCGTCCACATCAACAGAAACTAACGATTCTGTTAGTCAAGACGGTTAAAGTTAGACATTGATGAAATTAAATAATTTAGAGGATAAAATTGATGCGGAAATACGATAGGGACGAAATTGATAAATTTAATCTACTACAAGGGCATATGTGACCCTTAAACCTTTAATAAAATTTAAAAACAACTAAACCCATCAACTCCAATTAGTGGAGCTTATTTCAAGGTTTATGTTTAGATGGTATTGTAACATGTCCCATAATGTCACACTAACCAACTGGTGGTGGTGGTTAATTTTAGGCATTTACTCTCCAAATGCATATCGTGGTTTTGCTCATGAATTCATCTAACATTTGGAGAGAATCAGGTTCGTGCCTTTGTATTTCCAATCTATTCTCAAGTTTGAAACTTTTGTCGATTATTACTTGTTCGGCTTACTATTTCAGGCCCAGGGCTATACTTGACTTCATTAAATCTGGGAAGGACTTTCGAATTGCCACTTCCTCCAAAATGTCTGAGCATGGAACCTGTGAACAATGTGGTCCCATTTCCAGCCAGGTGAGAAGTGCTTTTAACCCTCCTGACACCTTGGAATTGTTTAAACTTTGGCATGCATTTGGTAAGTGATATTTATGATGAAGTTTTGCATTAATTTGGAGCGCTTCAAGCACTAGTAGCTGCCTGCAGTGTAGCTTGTGTCTTGCTGGAGGGGCTGAATTGAGGTTTACCGAAGCTCGGCATTGGTCGTAATCAAGGCCTAAACAGTGACGCTGAGAAAGATGTTAAAAAAGATGGCAGATTGACCTCCCATGTTCTCATTTCTTATTTTTTAAGCTTCCAAGTGACTGGTTATGCAAACAAAGCAGTTCGTTGCACTCTTTCAGCTGGTAGAAGGAAATCAGAATGAGCAGATCTTGTGTCGAATCATTTTTTGGATGAAGAACAGGGGATATTAATCCTTGTGCATTTGGAGCTCATGGATCAAGGGAATAATAACAGGGGAAAGCATATGTAGTTGGCAGGCAAGCCTAGCTCTCAAACTTTATGGAATTGGATGTTATTCCTTATCTGCAAGTCCTACAAATTTTAACATGGAGGTCTAATTAATTTATGTCGGTTTTATATTTCGAATTTATGAAAATGTTGAAATATTTTCTTACGTTGACATTAGTTGTTGAAAATAAATTAGTTGATCTTTATTCTCATATATAATGGGGTAAGAGGGAAGTAAGATAATAGGCTGGCCTCTAACGTCAGATTAAGAACAGCTTCCGTGGGAGATTTCCGAATTATAAAATACCCTCCGTAAAATTCGATCCCACGACCTCAAAATTAAAAACCTTGCTCTCTATATTGAAAAATAAGGATTAATACGCAAAGCCTAAACTCAGCAAATCCATTGTAACAGAAGGCATGCATCAGAACCTCCTCAAGTGTGAAAGCATGAGTAAAATCTGGAACCTTCATCACTGCCTAGAGGCACACAGCACACGTGACAACTCATTAACAGCTGGACACCACAGCATTTGGAAAGGCGCCTACAAAGCCAAACAAAAGAAGAAAAGAATGTAGGCCAAAAGTGATTAAGCCCTTCAACCATGGAGGGCTAATTAATTTATGTCGGTTTTATATTTCGAATTTATGAAAATGTTGAAATATTTTCTTACGTTGACATTAGTTGTTGAAAATAAATTAGTTGATCTTTATTCTCATATATAATGGGGTAAGAGGGAAGTAAGATAATAGGCTGGCCTCTAACGTCAGATTAAGAACAGCTTCCGTGGGAGATTTCCGAATTATAAAATACCCTCCGTAAAATTCGATCCCACGACCTCAAAATTAAAAACCTTGCTCTCTCTATTGAAAAATAAGGATTAATACGCAAAGCCTAAACTCAGCAAATCCATTGTAACAGAAGGCATGCATCAGAACCTCCTCAAGTGTGAAAGCATGAGTAAAATCTGGAACCTTCATCACTGCCTAGAGGCACACAGCACACGTGACAACTCATTAACAGCTGGACACCACAGCATTTGGAAAGGCGCCTACAAAGCCAAACAAAAGAAGAAAAGAATGTAGGCCAAAAGTGATTAAGCCCTTCAACCATGAAGCACAATTTATATAGCCCAAGTTTTGTCTAGTGGATCAACACTTGAAAGTTTGACCCAGTTGAGGCAAAACCGGCATACCGCCCTGCAACAACCAATTTTAACCAACCCAAGAAGCAAAACCAGAACTAACAACCTTCAACAGAAACCCACTGCTCAATATTGATTGATTCACTTTAGATACCAAAACCAATTCACGTAAAATCTCAAATGATGATACTGAAAGAATCATTGGGAGATTGAAATGTGGACCAGAAATACCAAATCATATGATTGAAAGTAGGGTAATAAAGGGTACCGCATAACATGCCCACTAATGCCGGCTTGATTTAATCTGCGGACTTTCCTAATCATATCTTTGCAAATATATTACTATTAGATTTGTTATTATCTATTTTGTAATTAAAGCGCGTCAATGTTCAATTGAATATTGTCGGATTCGTCGTGTAAATACTTGTTGGTTCGCCACTCCAAACTAAAGAATCAGGCTGTGCACCTCTAGATAAGGGAATACAAAGAATCTCTTCTGCTTCCTTGGGAGAAAAAATAGATTGAATAGTTTCCCATTTCCACCTATTCGTTAACGAATCAATCAAATCTGAAAACCATCTAATAGAGTTAACAGGAGGTAATGACACCTTTTTAGAGATCGGAGTTGGTAACCAGAAATCATTTCACACTAAGATGGAATTCTCATTTCTGACCTTCCAACGAAGACTCATTTCCATCAACACCCTCACACTCCATATTATTCTCCAAATAAGGGGAGGATTATAACTCAAATTGGCGTGAATAAAAT